CTGCATATATAAATCATTTTGGTATATAATAAATGCATTACTTATCATGCCCCTGTCTGTGTGCAGAGTCCTGCCTCACCTGCGTCTGCCACATCACTTTTCCACCGAGGAACTTGTTTCAGATGGAAAGTAAACTCCTTTGATCGGCGCCGTTGAGCCAATTAGATTTCCGCAAAAACGAGGATTAGTCCAAGTTGGGAGGGGCCGCTTGTATCCTCCCCTCAATACTGAAAGTATTAGTTTGACCCAGTCTGATAGACACACAGACAGCGTTCGCTGCAGCTGACCGGCCGGCCAGCGCTGTCGTGGATCATAAAGTTGAACATCAAAAACTAAACAATAAAAATCCTTGACCACCGGCCAGTTCGGCCTGAAATGGACCGGCCATTCGAGAATGTTCCCAAACACCCCTATGGCGAAGAGTGGCCCCCTGCTGGATTTTCAATAGAATGCAGGTTTTAGGGACTTCCGCATCGGCTTCACATTGAAGACCGGAAGCTCCCCACTTGGTGTAGGAACGACTTTTTAGCACTTAAATGCACTTAAATGCATTGCAGTACTGTGTTACTCCAGTGTAGGCGGTCAGAGTTTGCAACCATGAGTTTGCTTGATGAGCCTAAGTTAACTCTGAGTAGATTGAACTCCCTTTGTAGTACAGGCCACAAGGCCCTGTTTCAGAAAGCAGGTTTAACAAACTCTAGCTAAAGTAGTTCGGCTAACTAAATTTGTCAATTTAAAGGTTCAGTGTGTTATATTTAGGAGGACTGACATGAATGCCATATAATATACATAATCATGTTTTCAGTGGTGTATAAAAACCTTATATATTGAAATGCTGTCAAAACACATTAAAAGCAGGGTAGGCAAGTTGTTTCTAAAACACTTTTTGTCATATTTGTTGAAACTGTCTTTATACACCAATATATATTAAAAAGTTAGGTGCTCTGAAAAAGAGAGCATGAAAATCGGCTGTCTGTAGTCCTCTCAGGGCTGCAGTAAACACAGCCACTCGTTTCATTCGGACCAAATGCAATGATTGACTCTCCCTCGCTGCCATGGCTACCAGCCCTGCTGTTACAGGAGCTGCCCCCGTGCGCGCACCCGGTCAGCTCTCAGACTTGACGAGCCAAGCGGTCAGACCGGTGGGTAATATCTGCGTGGCTTTTCAACGATGGTGACAACTGAGGTATCCCAAGAGGCTGAAAAGTTACCCTGTGGTCACTTTATTTGTGCTGGACAGGTAATCTGGCTTTTATCATTTTGATGGTAATTTGTTACTTTCATCACTAGCCAACGTAGCTACCTACTTAGCATACAGCTAACGGCAGCTACGAGTGCAGGCTGGTGGAGCGACCCGCAGTAGAGATGATGAATTAACTGTAACTGCAGCTGAGCTGGCTGAGAGCTGTGTTTGCTGATGCTAACATTAGGTAAGACAATGTAGGTGTTATTCAACACCTAGGTTCATTTTTATGCTGTCTACACCTAATGTTTCTTTACCTTGTATCTAATCTATTTGTGTGATTATTTTGTGTCTGCAAGTGTTGTTTGACTGAATGTTACTCTTTTACAAATGTGGCAATATAGCTGTGTGTTCTTGTAGTTATGAGAAAGACATGTCAACGTTAGTGGACATAAACAACGCTGGCTATAGGTCTCCAAGTATCTGCGTTTATGGTCTATAAGCTACTTATTATATAGTTTGACACTGTACAGCTACACCTACTGTGTTGAAATATTTTACTGTAACCAGGAGAAAAGCTGATGACACAATTCACTATGTTACATTTTTATTACTCCTGTGCATTTTACACAATACAAGTGATGAGTCAAAAAAATTAAACAGGATGAGGTTGTTTACTACTGAGGAGATGCCTAGAAGCAGAACCAGGACCCTGCCCCAACAGTACTGCTAGATACAGCAAAACGTACAACAAAAAGTAATATGGTTGGTTTTGAAATGTGGTAATCATGTCAGAGAGGTGATTGTGATTTATTAAACCATCTCCACAGCAACAATACAATGCTACCAGTAAAGTCTAAACTGTCTTCATAATCAGTCAAGATACCTCTGGACTTGTCTTTCTTCCTGTATATACTTATTTTTAATGATGTTTAAAAATGATCTATTTGTGATATAGGTTGTAGTTTTAGTAGTATATAATAAACAAGTGTTATACCACATTTGGATGTCATTATTGGAGACATAAGACATAAATGTATGTTTGATATGCTGAAGAACAATAAAAGGCATTTATCATTTTCAATGTTTCATTTAAAAAAAGAATGAAAATATCCAGAACAGGGAAAAATATCCTTTGTATTTTCTTTAACCTCCTGGCAATAAAACAATGTAGAGGTATTCATTCACACAGTGGATGGAATTATTTGTGTGTCAGTTAGTGACATTACATCTTACATCCTGCTAGGATTAGACCTCTGTATTGTCCTAATGGATCAGGAGAACAGTTGAATATCTTCCATAAACAGCAGCTCAGTATCACCACTGTGTCTAAGTGCTCCACACTGCCACACTACAAACTGTCTGTATGCTGCCTGACTGAACTGTTTGTTACTCTAGTCTGGAAGATCAGCCATGTGTGGTGCATGGAAACACTGTAGTCTGGATGTTGGCCACAGTCCTCAGATTCTGGCCTTCAAAGAAATATATAGTTGTTAGAACCGCAAATCGGAAAGATTGGTGTAATAGGACAGGACATTCATCAACATGATCAGATATATTTTTATTGAACAGAGGTTTGTTGTTCTCTAACAGGACTTCTGTGTCCACATTACACACCAGGTCAATGTACATGACACAGATGAGCCGATGGCTGAAGCAGAGCTATAGTTAGTTGTTGTAATCAGTAAACGATAATAAAAAAGTAATAACAACAGTGATGGATTACATTTATAAAGCGCTTTATTTTTTATATTAAAATATATATGTATATATATGCCTATTCATATGTCGTTGTTAGAGGGTGAAGCTCCACGCAGGTCCTAGAATATGTGCTGCTTAGCTTGCACCACGTCCTTCCTGTCCTGCCTCTTCTTCCTCTGACCCTGGCAGCCCTCCCTCCTCTGCATCGCCTCGACCCCGGTTCTGTCCCGGTCTGTGCTTGGCTCTGGCTTGCAGTCCCCATCAGAGACAATAATGCTGTCACCGTGGAAGCGCTAACATGCAAAACAATGTACATGTTATTAGTCTAACACGAAATTAACGTTTGAGTAGTGTAACTGATGGAAACGGGAAAATGTGTATCAGCCTGTTTTCAGCTTTGCCCAATGTTACCGCAGCTGTTAGCACAGCTACCTGTTGCTAACTGTTAGCTAGCCAGCTCTTTACTGAATCAAAGTCAGTCTTTTTAAACCTATCCAGTATTAACATGTTAGCTTGATAGTGAGTACTAACAGCCGGGTTAGTTGTTTATTTTCATAATAATAAAGTTAGATGTTTTCTTACACCTGATGTGAAGCGCTGTGCTTCTCTCCGCTCATCACACTGTGCTCGTCCTCCAGCGATGTCGGCAACTCGCGTTCATGTGTTTTGGGGGCGTGGCTTTGGAAGGAGCCCAGAAGGGAGCCCACACTAATTATTTCAGTGCAACTGTTGCCAACCTGACAGCTGCCTTCATGTCCTCAGAGTCAAAGAGTTATACAGAAGGACAGTGCCTCTTATTTTATTCTGTGCCTGGTCTGGAGATAACTGTCTCTGTTCAAACATTGATGACCAACACAGTCTCACTCCCTACTCGTCAAATGTCTGACGCATGGTCAAGGGACCCTGGCGTCACTTTTTTGACGCACTGGGTATACCTTCGGCTTCATTTTTCAACGTGCGGGGCAGTCCAATAGACTTCTATAGAACTCAACAGCGTTGAAATTTGACGTCTTGGGTCGATCACCACACCGCAACCCGTTGTCTGCCTTGTGGGTCGAGACAACAATAAATAAAAATAAAAAGGAATACGCTACCAAAAATTATCTATACCAGGGCGATTCAAATGCCCTCCAACTGGTGTTTGATGTTTAAAAACCCTCGCAATCTGATATCAAAGGGCCCTCAAAAGTTAAGCGCGTTCATCAGCGGTGAGTTTAACAACGCACATGGTGTGCAACCACATTCAGCGGTGTGTTTAACAACACTCTACTGCAGGTAAAACGGCATTCAGAGGTGAGTTTGACCAAAGCAACGCACAACTGCAGGTAAAACGTAATTAAAAGGTGAGTTTAACGCTCCAATTCGCGTGCAAGTATGCAGTTTTAAAGCGTTTTCTTATCATAGGTAAAACACTAGAGCATGCTGGATAACGTATTTGTATCGGAGGTTTGTTGATTTTTAATGCTACGATTGTGTTGAATTAATCATTTTTTAAAAATTATTATTTTTACTAAATCCTCTAAATTAATAACGCTGACGTCACCGTATGGGCGATCCCAAGGTCCATTGCGATTTTCCACTCGGTAAGTAGAAGGGTTCATTAATAGAGATGGATACTCTTCTTACATTTACACATCAAAAACGGTTGGATCAGGACAAGAAATTGTGTTTAGAAACTTTAGATTTGTAAGTGGCCCTTTCTTATGACGAGAAATGATAGAAGACATTATTAAAAATATAGCTTGAACTGCACCAAATGTGCAAGCTAGCAAAGTTAGCTAAGTTAATTGAATTCAAGTTCATTTTTGTCGCATATTATCATGTAAGGTACAATCATAGGGGAATGTAAGATTTTCAGATTTTTATTACATAGCCCTCAACTATCCTGTAGAAAATTCATGGCATAGAGACTGATAAGTGCATGGTTATTGTTGCAGTGACACTAAACACTAAACAGTTAACCTTAAAGTTACCTGCTCAATCGTTCTCATTGTTTTGGTAGAAAGCAATTATGCCAATAAGTTATGTTGTGTTTGTTTACACTGTCTTAAGTGCACTCTAGAAAATGTGTGTGTGTGTGTGTGTGTGTGTGTGTGTGTGTGTGTAGTGTAGATTTCAAAATGTCTCGAAAGAAGTTCAGGCCTTGCCCCTCCTGCCAAGCACCTAACCAGGTGAGGGAAAGTCAAATCGAGCATTATGTCCAATATTCAAATATGTGGTTTTAAATGTTATACATTTCTCATTATTAGGTCAATTGGACACTAAAGTATAGTCCTACTAAACGACCCTGTATGATAAGTGTTCTGTGTTACAAAACAGTGATAATTTAAGGCATCTGGTTGATATCAATTTTGATTGCTTGTTTTGCACCAAATGCCATAGGCAACATTGATTTAGCCTGGGTGTCTCCTACATCTGCCACTTTCACTGTATGATAATAATAATAATAATAATCCTGTGTCAATCTAGAGATGCATATTCTGAATTGCATTGTGCTTTGTGTGTTCCTCTCTTTCCTGTATACAGCCAAATTAAACTGTATATTGATTCTACTTCTTCTCTGTGACTGTGGATCTGATGTCTCACTTTGGTATACTTTTACTAACACAGGTGAGCCGCAAAACCTGCAGCTCTTGTTTCGCAGCCATCTCCCAAAAAAGAAAGTAGCGGCCAAAAAAGTGACCCTGGACAGGAAGTGGGGGGAAAGGGTCCTAAAAAACAGAAATGCAGGAAGAGTGGTGGACTCTGCCCATATTGCAGTAAGTAGAAATGCTCATATTTCATTAAGCAATATGATTTGTTTCACTTTCATTAATATTTTGTGATAGGGCAAGGGCCTCATTTTACAAAAATAAGTTTAATTTGTCAGTGAATGAATTTGAGGTAGATGGCATTGGTGTAACATATTATTTTAATTAATTTGTAATTTGCTTGACATGCATAGAATAGACTTTCTTTTTGACCAGGCGCTCATGTACATTTGTTTACATATACTACCGGCTACATTGCAAATATAACCTTGCTTTAGTACCACACAGGTACTTCAGTATGCGTGTTACTGAAGTTTCTGTCTCTGCTAAAGGCAGATCACAGAATTCAGATCCAGAGTCACTATTAAAGACAGTCTTGCATGATTATGTAAGTAGATAACATGCTCTTACCTTGCACTACCACCCCTAGCATGTGAATATTGCATCGCACACTTATAGTGCCTTGCGCTGTGTTCATTTTAGAGAAAGTGCATGATGATGTGACAAAATAACTCAGGACATGTGTGAAAGCCATGCTGTGTGCAACATATGTGTTGTTAAAAGCAAGGCCATATTCCAGGTGTCCTATTTCAAAGACACAACTTAAAAAAGTATTTGAATTACTACAGGGGAGATTAATGTCGGGTTAAAAGTGGAAAGGATTCGACTATACCTACTGGAGTAGGACCGAGACCAGGTTCTCTAGTGCAGCTGGCTATTTTATGTCCGTTGGTGGCATTCCCAAATGAGTGTTTCTGTTAGTCCCCCAATCTACATTTGCCGTGGGCAGAGACAGGTAGACCGACCAAGGGGGGGAGGAGAGTGTTTGGATCAGGTGAATAGGTGGCCATAAAGAGTTAGTCCAGTCAAAATGTATTTTTATCATATTTTGTTTTGTGTGTGTCCAATCAATATAATTATTTTTGAAGGGTGTCAGGACTTTTTGTGTTCCCTTTAGAATCCCAGATTGCTAACTATTTGACCACCAGCATCCAGCACAACATTAGATGAATATTGGTTGTATAGAGCAGGGGTTCTCAAACTGTTTGTGCCAAGGACACTTTGTGTGGGAGAAGAATTTCCAAGGACCCCCTCATAATCAAAACAATTAAGCATATGCTTGCTACCATTTGTATACTTTGATGCCATTTTTATTCTCTTAAGTTCACTATTCCGTGTTTTCTAGCTGGTGTGTACTTACTTGGTCTTTAGTCAACTTTGGATTTTGAATCACTTAATGATGTGGACTGACTCAAACATTTATCCATGTTCATCAGCTATCTTAATGGCAAATAAGCCAAGCTAAGCAGCAGGAAGAATGGTTCATCATGACCTGAGTGAAGTGATTCACAACAGATTGACTTGATTAATCATAATCACAAAAAAAGTTCAATGTTAATGTTTTAATTTATTAGTGCATTCATAATCAAGATTTTATATGTGGATTCTAGATCATTACATCGTCATTGATAAGCATTTCTTAACGATTAAGCACAACTTTCTCATTTGAAACAAATCCACTTTGAGAACCACTGGTATAGAGTAGAAATTTCACGAGTTCACACTTACATCAATTTAACAGAGTAAAGATTATGAGTATTTGGCGTGCGGTCCGGGGGAGGTCTCCGAGCTCAGGATTTTTGCCTGAACCCAGAGTACTTCCCCCATTGCTATAAAAGTATTTAGGGCTAGAAGTGAGGAGATGGGGTGGTGGAGGGATGCTGTCAAACTTTCAACGGACAGAGGTAAGCTTGTTGTTATATATACACCTCTTAACTCGTTGATTGGATTGATTAGCAGAGTTTGCTCCACTCGTGTCTAATTGGGTTTAATTATCTGAACGTGCTCCTTGTTATGACCCTGGGGTCATATTTTGTTGTTTGTTTATCTCTCCTGGCACTGTCAGCTGTTCTCCTCCATTAGTGTGTGTGTGAGTGTATGCAGGTACTGGAGAACAGGTGGACACACTGGATTGGTCTGGTTGAGCTGATTGGAGCCTCCTGATTGGGCATCTGGATGACAGCAGCCATCTTAAGCCCTACTGACAGGAACTCTGCCCCTCTCTCTGCCATTCCCAACCTGCCTGAGGACTGTGTGTTATGTCTGTGTTTATTGTACATAGTGAACCGTTGTGACTATATTCAACTTAGATTGTAAGTAGTATCGTAGTCCTTCTGATTGTCTTATGACAACCTGGTTTTGTTGGCTTTGCCATTTTTGTTGCTATGAAGCAATTTCCTTTGTTGTAGCTATACTGTGTCAGCTACTAGCAGTGAGTAGGAGTGAGAAGCCCTTTCTTTTGTTTGCACCGTTTTCTCGTGTTTTTGGACTTAGAAGCCTAGTTTTAGAGCTTTGTCTTTTCTTTACCTTTTGGTTTTGGGTTTAGGAAAGATTTAGGTTTTTCTTAGTGTTTTGGTTGTTGTTTTGGGCACTGCTCATCTCTGATGTATAATAAAAACTGCTAAATTGTATTTGTTGTGTGCTTGCCTTGTTTGGGAATGGGAAGAGTGGGAGGCCACACATTTATGTTACCTCCAGGACACCCCTAGACCTTGGGACGTAACATAAATTGGGGGCTCGTCCGGGATTTGAACCCGGGACCTCTCGCTTGTGAAGAAACTGCCACCCAGACGTATGTAGAGTTTGCAAGAGAGAAAGGTACTCTTTTTGATAAATGGTGTCAGGCCAGTAAGATAGCAACGTTATTGGATCTGCGGGAACTTGTGTTGTTGGAGGAATTTAAGAATCGGCTCCCAGAGAAAATTGTCATGTATTTAAATGAACAAAAAGTCACTTCCCTTGCTGCTGCCGCTGTACTGGCGGATGAGTTTACCCTAACTCATAAATTTGATCGTCGGGAGCTGACCTCAGTTGACCGTAAGGGTAACTCTCCTATGAGTTATCGTCGTAACCCCACTGCCACCACAGAAAGTCGGGAGTGTTTTTACTGTCATGAGCAAGGACACCTCATCGCTGCCTGCCCTTCTCTTAAAGGGAAGGAGCACAGTATGAATGCCAAAACACCCTCACCAATAGGGCTCATCCACACTTCACCCCACAAAAAGTTGAATCTGGTTAATGCTCAAAAAGACCACATTGACGAGGCTTTTAGGCCATTTGTGTCACAGGGTTTTGTTTCTCTGGTGGGTGAGGAAAAACAAATCCCTATCACTATCCTGCGGGATACTGGAGCCAAACAATCACTGATCCGTGATGGTGTTTTACCTCTCTCAGCTGAGACCTATTGTGGTGCAGACGTGTTGGCATGGGGAGTTAAAATGTGTGCAGTGCGGGCGCCGTTGCACTTCATTCAGTTGTTCTCCAGATTTGTGTCCGGGAAATTTAGAATTGCTATGCGCCCTCAGTTGCCGATAGCCGGTATAGACTTAATCCTCGGTAACGATTTGGCTGGCGGTAAAGTTTTCCCGTCTCCCGAGGTGATCGAACATCCGATTGCGGATGAATGCGTTCCCGACACTGGGGTGCCTGACTTGACCCCGTTGTTTCCTGTTTGTGTTGTAACCCGTGCTCAAGCACAAAAGCTTGGCGACTTGGTGGATCTTAGCGACTCTTTCATGAGCGGCTCTGATCCAACAAGCTCCCATCACGATTGTAGAGAAAATGCACCTATCTGTGTAGAGCTTCAGCCTGATTATCAAAACCTAACCCTTGCTGTAGATAAAGAGCAGCTGATCAGAGCACAGAAAGCTGACTCTAGCTTAACCTCTTGCTTTTCTCTTGCAGAAAGCCAATCATGTGAAAAGTCTGTGTCCTACCTGGTTGAGGATGGTGTTCTTCTGCGGCACTGGTCTCCAAGCTCTGGTAGTACGCACGAGTCAGTGTCCCAAATTGTAGTGCCACAGGCATTCCGATCTCAGGTCTTAAGTTTGGCCCATGATCATTGCATGTCCGGCCACTTAGGCATAAGGAAAACGTACAATCGTGTGCTTCGTTATTTCTTCTGGCCTGGACTTAAATCAGATGTGGTAAAATTCTGTCGATCGTGCCACACCTGTCAGGTCTCAGGTAAACCGAATCAGGTGATTCCTCCTGCTCCATTAAGGCCCATTCCTGTCGTCGGAGAACCTTTTGAGCACGTTATTGTTGACTGTGTTGGTCCTTTACCTAAAACAAAGTCCGGTAACCAGTATGTCCTCACCATTATGTGTTCTGCCACTCGTTACCCTGAAGCCATTCCGTTGCGCTCATTGAAGGCCCGTGTCATTGTGAAAGCACTTGTTAAGTTTTTCTCCACTTTTGGTCTTCCTAAACGCATCCAAAGTGACCAGGGATCAAACTTTATGTCCAAAATCTTCGCCCAGGTTATGGCAGAGTTACATGTGGCTCACAATACCTCCAGCGCTTACCATCCAGAAAGCCAGGGCGCATTAGAGAGATTTCACCAAACTCTAAAAGGCATGCTGCGCAAGTTTTGCACTGAGTCAAACAGTGAGTAGGATGAGGGGTTGCCGCTGTTGTTGTTTACTGTGAGAGAAACGTCACAGGAATCCTTAGGTTTTAGCCCGGCTGATCTAGTTTTCGGTCACACTGTGCGAGGCCCATTACGCCTACTGAGAGAGAAGTGGCTCTCAGGTACCACTAGTCCTAGTGACAATATTCTGGACTACGTTAGTTCGTTCAGGGAGAGGCTACATCATGCGTGTGATGTTGCCCGTGACACACTCTCAAGTGCCCAGACAAAAATGAAAGTTACTTATGACAAAAAGTCTGTGGTGCGTACCTTTCAGTCCGGTGAGCGCGTACTAGTTCTGTTACCTGTCGTTGGTTCTGGTTTGCAAGCAAAGTTTTCTGGTCCTTATGTGGTCGATCGTAAACTTAGTGACACCGATTATGTAATCCGGACCCCTGATCGTAGAAGGAAAACTCGTGTGTGTCATGTCAACATGCTTAAAACCTATGTTGACCGTAATAATTCTGTTAGTTCACCCCTCGTGGTTGCACCTATGGCCTTAGTGTCAGTCGTTACATACAGTCCCAGTGATGATGGGCTGGATGACCGGCGTAGTTCTGTTTCCTGTGTGCGCCTTAGAAACTCTGAAATATTGACAGACTTAGACACACATTTGGTGCATCTGTCTGATTCTGCTAGGACTGATGTTAGTGAGCTCATTAAGGCTCATCCAACTCTTTTCGGGGACATTCCCATGCAGACCAATGTGCTAAGTCATGATGTTGATGTAGGCGATCATCAACCCATAAAACAGCATGCATATCGCGTCAATCCAACAAAATGTGCATTAATGCAGCAGGAGGTAAAGTACCTCCTTGACCACGGTTTTGCTGTCCCCAGTAGTAGTTCCTGGAGTTCCCCTTCACTGCTGGTCCCCAAACCTGACCAGACCCCACGTTTTTGCAATGATTATCGAAAAGTCAATGCTGTTACCAAACCAGATTCTTTTCCACTTCCACGCATGGATGACTGTGTGGATCGAGTAGGGTCAGCAAAATATGTCACCAAATTGGACCTACTAAAAGGCTACTGGCAGGTCCCACTTACTCAGCACGCCTCTGACATAAGTGCCTTCGTCACTCCGGATCATTTCCTCCATTATACAGTCATGCCATTTGGTCTGAGAAATACCCCTGCAACTTTCCAGCGGTTGATGAATACAGTCCTATGTGGGGTTGCAAATTGTGAAGTTTATTTGGATGACATCGTGGCCTATTCGTCAACTTGGTCTGATCACATGAGGACCCTCAGAGTGATTTTTGAACGCTTGTGCGCTGCTTCCCTTACACTCAATCTGGCTAAATGTGAGTTCGGGAAGGCTGTTGTTACCTACTTAGGTAAACAAGTAGGTCAAGGTCGTGTCTGCCCAGTTACTGCCAAAGTACAGGCAATCTTAGATTTCCCAGCTCCTCAGACATGTCATGAGCTCCGTCGTTTTCTGGGGATGGCTGGGTACTACCGTGCGTTCTGCAAAAACTTTGCTGATGTGGTAGCTCCTTTAACCAGTTTGGCAAGTCCCAAAACTCTTTTCCAGTGGTCAGAAGAATGTCGGATGGCTTTCGAGGCTGCCAAAGTTCTCCTCTGCAGTGAGCCTGTGCTCGCCGCCCCAAACTTCACTCGTCCATTTAAGCTGGAAGTAGATGCCAGTGCGCTTGGTGCGGGTGCAGTGCTCCTGCAGGAGGATGTGCGAGGCATTGATCACCCCATTTGCTACTTTTCCAAAAAGTTCAAAAGACACCAGCTGCATTACAGCACCATTGAGAAGGAGGCCTTATCATTACTGTTAGCATTACAACACTTTGAAGTGTACCTTGGGTCTAGCCATGTGCCAACCATCGTCTTCTCTGACCACAACCCCCTGGTGTTCTTGACTCGAATGCAAAATAGCAACCAGCGTCTCATGCGCTGGTCCCTATTACTGCAGGACTTTAATATTGAGGTTTGTTACAAAAAGGGTTTAGAAAATGTTATGGCTGATGCTCTCTCTAGCTCTCATTGAATCAAACCTTTTTCTTAAGAGGAAAATGTTTGATCTTGGGTGGGGAGGTGTTATGACCCTGGGGTCATATTTTGTTGTTTGTTTATCTCTCCTGGCACTGTCAGCTGTTCTCCTCCATTAGTGTGTGTGAGTGTATGCAGGTACTGGAGAACAGGTGGACACACTGGATTGGTCTGGTTGAGCTGATTGGAGCCTCCTGATTGGGCATCTGGATGACAGCAGCCATCTTAAGCCCTACTGACAGGAACTCTGCCCCTCTCTCTGCCATTCCCAACCTGCCTGAGGACTGTGTGTTATGTCTGTGTTTATTGTACATAGTGAACCGTTGTGACTATATTCAACTTAGATTGTAAGTAGTATCGTAGTCCTTCTGATTGTCTTATGACAACCTGGTTTTGTTGGCTTTGCCATTTTTGTTGCTATGAAGCAATTTCCTTTGTTGTAGCTATACTGTGTCAGCTACTAGCAGTGAGTAGGAGTGAGAAGCCCTTTCTTTTGTTTGCACCGTTTTCTCGTGTTTTTGGACTTAGAAGCCTAGTTTTAGAGCTTTGTCTTTTCTTTACCTTTTGGTTTTGGGTTTAGGAAAGATTTAGGTTTTGGTTGTTGTTTTGGGCACTGCTCATCTCCGATGTATAATAAAAACTGCTAAATTGTATTTGTTGTGTGCTTGCTTGTTTGGGAATGGGAAGAGTGGGAGGCCACACATTTATGTTACCTCCAGGACACCCCTAGACCTTGGGACGTAACACTCCTCCCGAACTTTGTTAATAAAACATCACGTAATGTTCTAAGGGGAAAAGCTGTTAAGGTTGGTCATGTAAGTTGTGTAGCCCGATATTAGAAACAGTAGCACTAATGTATTTAATGCAAATTTGTTTTCCAATTGGGTGGAAAGTAATGCAGTGGGAATAACTAATGTTTGCTGTCTGCATTTATTTATTACAGGTGAAAAAACTAAGTGCATTGGGCTATGTCCCAATTCTATTTTTCGCAAAGAAAGACAAGGCCTCTGGAAAGTGGGTGTCTGATGTGGTGACCCATCTGCTACCCACTGAGGACAACCTAAAAATTGTGGCCACTATGAGAAAGGCCTACAATTTTGTATTGATCAAAGAAGGTAGGATATGTGTAATTTAAGTCATGCCTGTTTTTTTTATGATGGTGAAATATTGAAAATTAACATACTCATGCAATATTGTAGGGAACTCCACGACGACATTGCCCGATCCACACCCTCAGGCCCTGCCCGATCCACACCCTCAGGCCCAGGAAAAGGAGACATTTTATATTTTAGATTTACACCCTGTCTCTCTCCCTGTGAAGGAACAACCCCCCCCCCCAAAAAAAGAAAGTGTAAGTTAACTGTGGTCTTAGCACACTATGTATGAATTTCTCCTTTTTGTAATCATTATTCATGAAATACAGAAATCTTTAGGTGAATTTAAGTGCAGTCAATTACCGTAGTTAATGTGAGTAATTTTCAGTGGCCAGTCTGATACACAAAGGAGTTTGTCCTCGCATGCATACCTTTCAGTACTGAACATGCACACTCTAGGAGTAAAGCAATGAGCAATACACACTTGAGGAGAGATGAATACACACACACTCACGCACACATCAGTGGGCAGCCCAGGTAGCTTATCCCCCTCTATCACTGTTCACAATCTGCTTCAATAACCTTTAGGCCAGGCAGTAGGATAATTAGGCAAAATTTCGGCTATGAAATCACTGAATCTAATGGCTAAAGAGCAGTTCATTCCAGGAACTATAACGATAAAAGCGTCCAGACAGACTGACCAGCTATAAGCAAAGTCTCACCTTGTGTTAATAAATGTGATGGCTAAGATGTGATGGGTTCCTATTGGTTGTTAGCTCTTCTTTTTATTGTTCTCAAAATCGCTTTAAAAGCGATCCCCTACAATATTGTTCTCAATCTCGTTATAGTTTATCATATTAACGAGAACAATATTTTTTTATATAGTTATCGTTTTTGGTGTGAATGGCCCTTTATATATGTATTCTTCAGTTATTTAGCTGTATTTTCTGACGTTTTCAAAGTTCAAGGACAATGCTTAAAGTTGTTCCCCAGGTTTTATGAAACTTTAAGTTTAACTTTAAGTTTAATTTCCAGGTTTTTTTTACATTTATGGTTAATTAATATTATTATTATTATTGTCATTTTAAGGTTGCCGGAAATGTAGTAGGCAGAAAGTTTTCAAATATGACTCCATAACAGGACGAAGGATAAATGAGGTAAGAAATATATTTTCATTAGGCTGTCTGATCATCTCTCCATTGTCTGTGGCTCATCTGGCATTTCACATATCACAAAATACTGACCATTTAAGCATTGGTAATTTGAGTCCATTTAAGTTCAACTGAAGGCCAAGTGGCCTTGCCCCAAAAATTATGAAATTCAAAACCTGATTATATGTTTTTGTCTTTCTGTAGGGGCAAGAGGAAGTAAGGGTGAAATGGTTACCTTGCTCTGCATGGTAAGTACTGCTTTATATTGGTTTATATTGCCTTCATACATGTACTGTTTTTCCACTTTTTACCATCTCATAGGTAGTGGATAAAGGTTGAAATTTATATTGTAGCACACACAACTTTAAATGTACAGTTGGGTCTCAAAGTTTTGCAACCAAAAAGCAGCGTTGAGAGAATTGTCATGTCCACTAGGTTTTAGGTCCAGCGTCAATGCAGCCTTCTACCTGGAGATTTTAGAGCATGGTTCCATCTGCTGACAAGCGTTACGCACATGCTGATATCCTTTTCCAGCAGCACTCTGCCCCTGCCACAGTGCGAAAACTGCTAGTAACTGCGTTGCTTAGCATGGTATTGCTGTGCTTAACTCGTCTCACCTGAACCCCATAGAGAGGACAATGATAGAAACCAAACCCAACATTAGAGACAACTTCAAGGTCACTATCAAAGCAACATGGGCTTTTATAACACCTCAGCAATGCCATACACTGATGGCCTCCACACCACACCACACCGATGCAGGAATTTGTGCAAAAGCAGCCACACCAAGTATAGAGTGTATGCATTAACAATTTTTGATAAGTCAGATTTGTTAATTTATTTTTGAAAGGTCGACATTTCTGTATTCCTCTTTATTATAATGTAGTGAGTTGATTGATTTTTTAACTTTTAAATTTTTTTTTTCATGAGCTTTAATCAAGATTAAATCAACACAAATTGCTTCAAATGTTGCACAATATTGTAATTGTAGACCCATAGGGTATATACCAATATACCAATTGGTATAGGGTGGATTAAATGCAGTGTCAAATATTGTCTACAGGATTTAGCCACTTGCTCTTTTCAGTACTATGCATAATTCCCCCGGTGTAATGTCTATGTAGGAAGTAGACCTTCACCAATATATTGGCAGAACATCAGTATCGGCCAAGCTCATCCTTGTTGACTGATGTCAGCTATTGACTTTCTATGACTTTATCTATGAGAGTGGCTGATGTTTATCTGTTACATTTCATCAAGCACTATATATGTATAGGTTTTATAAAAACAATGAAATACAAGACCGTACAATATTTTTTGAAAATATTTATGCTGTGAAACTATTGTTAAAATGGCTCCTGTTTTTCACTGTTCTAATGTTATTTTTTTACTGATACTTACAGTGGAAAAATCTGGGAGGAGACATGGGAGCCGGCCTGCCAGTTCTCACCAGGTGCCAACCATGTGTAATGTCACACATTGGTCTGTAATTCAATGAGTTAAATACCTGCTATGAGATGTCAAGTTTGCCGTTACGGGCCCAGCCATCCTGCTTGCGGATGTGACTACTTTAGATGAGGAGGAGCCGCGTTACACACTTTCAATGGTTTCCACCCTAACATGCTGTCATGCTGTTTTTTAATTTATTTTTTAATTATTGATTTTTGTTAAAAGCTGTTTTCAAATAAATCAATGTATACCTTTATTTCTGTTTGTCTTTCCATTCACCTTGTGGTTTAGCCAATCATCTGAAGTCTTCAATGCATCAAATGATATATTGTAATGTGATGCACAAAGTATGTAGGAAGGTGGGACATGTTTTCATTCATATTAATTGACACCATTAAGGAACCATTGATTCCACCAGCTAAACCATACATTTTCTGTATAAAGGGTAGCTGAGGTAGGCAGGGGTGGGTAAATGAACAGGCTTACCAGGACCAGAGGTCAAGAGGGTCCAGAAACCTCTAAAAATGTGAAAGCATGCTTTCTAATTCAGGAAGTTTTCTAAAGGCAAGGCACATGAAACCCTGGCTGCTGCACTGTGGCCTTCGATTGACCTTGATGCACTAAATGTGTGTGTTCAAGTCTACCCCGGATGGGTAAAAGCAGAAGACTATATTTTTTTACTTTTGTTATTTCAGTCTATATGGGCCAATCTGGGTTTCTTGTTTATATTTTTAAAACTGTCAATATTCATTTAGATGTTATGGTATTTATTTATTTTAATATTTCGGTCTTATTTACGGTGAAATAATACAGTATGCTGTAATACAGAACATATGATCCAAGCTAGACGCAAAGACTCCACAATGCAATGTGGGCATTCATTCACAGAATCGGTTGTCATTGGTTGTCACCAGCAACAACAAGTTGCTCAGCTTTGTACCAGCCGCAATACCAGAGAAAGGACTTTGGTAATACCGATTACCGACCGAAGACTCCGGAAGTGACGTAGTATGTGCCGCTCGGCGGATAAGAAGATAAAAATATATATTTGTGCAAAATTGACTTAATTTATTTAATATATGCTTTTTTGGAAATGTTCTAGATTTCTAAGAAATGTGTTTTTGCACTATTGTAAAACATTTCTTGAATAAAAAAGATAAAAAAAATACACAGTATTTGTCAAGCTGAGCTGCAGACCACGCCCTTTTTTCCCTGGTTGTGGTGCCTAGCTGCAGTCAGCTAGTTAGTCACCAGGTGGGAAGGATCTGGTAATTAGGAGATTTGGAGTCATTCACAGGATAGAAAGCAGGCTGGGAAGATGTGTTGAGGAACTGGGAAAAAATGAGACTGCAGGACTAAAGCTTGTCTGAACGAGGAAGGAGTCGGTGAGCGTTTGTTTGTTTGTGAAATGTGGTGGATTTTAATATTAAAGTGAATCATGTAATTATATTTAGGGAAAAAATGTTTGTATAAAACCATGTGTTTGAATTGTAAACTAAAGTGTTGTACATTTAACATCATGGAGATTTGAAGCATGGTTAAAAGTAATGTATTGTAAAGTTTAAAAGGGAAAAACTGTAAGTGTAGGATTGTGTTTGTAGAGGGTTAAAGGTCTTAGGATTTAAAGTTAAATTATGTGAGCAGTGATTTAAAATAAGTATTTTGATGTTGGATGGTGATGTTTATTATGGTTACCTGAGTTTATTATGTGTTTCATTGATTTACTTGTGTTTGTATTTAAGGTTTTTTACCTGCTTATGGCTACGACAACTTTCAAATAAAAGAAGGAAAAGAAAGAATTGATTCCTGGTCATTGAGTAAAATCCAGTCCAAACCTTCAGAGGCAAGCATACCCTATCAAGTGGGGGAAACTGCAGGGTTGAACTTCACTAAAGTGAATGCACTTGACAGTAAAAAACCGCTGTGAAGACTGGAGCAGAGAATCCTGAACAGCAACCAGCCTGGCCTGATAAAACGGGAAATCATCTCACCCAATCCTGCGGAAAAGAAGATGGCTGACTCAAAGACACTGGAGCAGCTTAAAGCTAACAGGACATCTGCAAAGCGGCAATTCTCACGACTGGCTAACAACGTAGTCCGGATGCATGGCATCACACCTGAAGAGGAGCTCAGGGACAGTTTCAAAAAGCTCGTAATTGAGGCCAACAAGGTCATGGAAGCCAACGATGATGTAGAGGCCCAATACCTTGTAGAGGCAAAGCTGGATACTGATTCCGAAGAGGTTCCCAGGTTGAATGAGCAGCAAAAGGCCGACATCGAGAAAACTACAAGTGAGTGTGAGACGAGACTGAACGAGCTCAAGGAGCTAATCCAAAAGACACTCTGGGCAAACTTTGGAGAAGAGGAACTGTCGATGGCAGTAAAGGTTGCAGAGGAGAAAGTAGAGTGTGTGGTGTCCTTTGGACCCGATGGGAGTAAAGAGAGTTTTGACTTCATGTTTGATTACATGGAAAAACTGGTTAAGAGGGCAAAAGAGCTGCATACACAGTGGAAGTGTTGGGTTCCCCCTGCTGAACGGAAAGATTTTCAGCTGCGGGTCAGAAATCTTGAGCAGATCATCCCTAAGTTAATGTCAAGAAAAGCAGAGTTCATTCAAGCAAAAGCTAAAGAAGACGCCGAAAGAGTTGTGAGTGCAGCTACTATCAACTATCCAACAGCAGCAGTTAGACTGAAGCCTACTTCCCTCCCTAAGTTTACTGGCATCAGGCGAGACTTTCATCGCTGGAAAAGGGACTGGGAGGCCCTCCAGAGGCAAGGAGAACCCACTGGTTCAAAGGAAGTCAAAAAGTTCCAGCTTCTTGACAGTTTGGATGAGAAAGTAATGAGAGATCTTCGATTGATGAATTATAACACCGCAGGAGACATCTTTCGTGTGCTAGAGAATCGGTTCGGAAGCCAAACTGCGATCGCTGTTGAGATAGTTGAGGAGCTCCAGAGACTTCCAGCTGCCAGAGGGCACCAGCCCAGGAAAATTGTTGAGCTCATCCAAGCTGTGGAGAAAGCCCTTGAAGATCTGAGTGATCTTGGTGACACTGGCGCTTTAAGGAACCCTCTGGTGACAAAGTCAATTGAGAGCAAGCTGCCGGATGCACTAAAGAAAGAGTGGCTTCTCTATGCAGCTGAGAGAAGCAGTACTGACCCAGAAAAGCGCTTTGACTATCTTCTGGCCTTTCTCAAGAGTCAAGAGAGCATCTACGAACAGCTGGATCAATTGAGGGATGAAGAGCCGCTGAGGAAAGAAAACCGACCGGAGCAAAGGCAAGCTAGAACCAGAGCCTCAAACCAGTTAAGTAGCAATCTCTCTGGATGTGTTGTCTGTGGGGACATCAAGCATAAGAAGAAGCTGTACTTCTGCAAAAGGTTCCGTGTGCTCAAGCTCACAGAGAAGAAGGACGCAGTGCGGAAGCTGGGAGCCTGCTGGAAATGTCTGGAGGTCCATGACGAGGGTAATCACTGCAAAACTTTGTTTTTGTGCAGAAATCCCGATTGTGGGAAGCAGGGAGTCACAGACCATCACTACTATCTGTGTCCCAGTGCTGAGGCACCCAGAGACAGTATGGCTCAGAGGAGGAGAAAACACAGCACAGTGGGAGGTGAGAGCTGGAGGAATTACACCGAGGCTCAGGAAAAATTCTTCGGAAAACTTTCACCTGAATTAGCTCAACAATGCCGGGACGCATTCTGTAATACAGCAGTGAGCACTTCACATATTGCAAAGAGTCATTCAAGTCTTCTGGTAGAGAGCGGGCTAGCGGAGTGGCCAGTCATCATGATGCTGTTGGAGGTAACCGCAAATGCTGGGCAGAAAATTGGGACTCTTATAGACCTAGCTTCTGATACTAATTATATCACCCATGAGGCAGCAGGTCGGCTCAATCTTAGAAGTGAAGACATCACGCTTGTAGTCCATGGTGTAGGAGGCATGAAAGTCTTTGTTAAGACAAAGCGGTACCTCCTGAAAATTCGGGTCAGCACTTTAAGAGGCACTCTTAGATCTCATCAGCTGGTTTGCTATGGCCTAGACAGCATTGCAGACATTCAAAGACATGTGTCAGCTAAAAAACTACAAGAGTTCTTCCCAGACATTCCACTCAGCGACCTGGCAAGACCGAGGGAGATCCATCTCCTTGTGAGTCACAAGGAAGGCCAGCTGGCCCCGCAGAAAATCCGCACGGTAGGGGACCTTGTGCTGTGGGACGGACCGATGGGAAAGACAGTTGCTGGCACCCATCCTGAGTTGTTTGAGGCGGTAACTGTATCAGCTCACACATCGAGAACGCATTTCGCAAGGTCTATGAGAACTGCTGCTGTGAAGTATGAAGAACACACCTGCGTGGTCCCCATTCATCGTCAACAAAGCCAGCAACCTCAGGGATTCAGTTGTTTAACTACAACATCCAGCTTCCTCGAGTGGTGGAAATGGGAAAGTATCGGTGCTGGCTGCATTCCAAAATGTGGAGGTTGTCGCTGTGGAAACTGCCACCCAGGCGGCAAAGAAATGACCCTCGCTGAAGAAAGGGAGTTGGAGGTGGTAAAGAATGGGCTCACATATGTAGTTGCTGATGAGCACAGTGAGAGGCCTCACTGGCACGCCAAGTACCCCTGGATAGAAGATCCAGCCACATTACCAAGCAACAGGAGTGCAGTTGAGGCAACTTTCTTCAGGACTGAGAGACAGCTGACCAGGGAGTCGGAGTGGAAAGCTGCCTATGCTGCTCAAGTTCACGAGATGGTCGAGCGCCGAGCTGCAATGAAGTTGTCTAAAGACGTCCTTCAGACATGGACTGGCCCAGTCTGGTACATTAGCCACCTCATCGCACCCAACCCACACTCAGTCACAACTCCGGTGAGACTGGTTTGGAACAGTAGTCAGAAGTGCAGAGGGGTGAGTCTGAATGATCTCCTGTTAAAGGGCCCTGACGTCCTCAATTCTATTCGTGCTGTGCTTCTCAGGTTCCGGAGGGGACGTTTTGCGGCTTTGGGAGACATAAGGAAAATGTACAATTCAGTGTGGCTTGATGATCAGGAGGTACATTTGCATAGGTTTCTGTGGCGTGATTCCGAGGAGGAGGAGCTGGGCGAGTATGCAGTCACAAGGGTTAACATTGGTGACAAGCCTGCAGGTTGCATCGCTCAACTCGCCATGAGAGAGACAGCAAATCTCCCCCAGTTTAGCC